TTCATTAGATCACCAGTCACCAGGGGGCAGGCCTGGCTTTAAAAAGCAATACCCTGTCCCTTTAACAAAATGGTCACTGCTACACAGAGCCACGAACCAGAACGAGGCATAGTAGCTCGCTAATAATGAAAACATTAGCTGCAGGGAACCTACAGGCAATACTGGAGATTCGTCCTTTTCCTTCTGTTTTGAGATACACCATAGGGCATTTTTGTGATCTGCTCACAAAATCCAATCCAAGCCTGTCCCTAACTTATACCATTTTGATAGTAGTTATCTAGGGTAAGTCACAAGAATTAGCATGGACTTTCCACAGCTTCCAGTAGCAACAATTGCCCTTCCTGGGCCACAGGAGGAAGGTTACTGTGTGTCTGGGCAGTTATTTCAACCCTTACAGTGTGTCTGTTCTGCAGGGAGTTTCTCTGAGTTTTCTAGAGATCTCTGGTTGGTTACTATGTTTGCTGTGCATTATTATCCCCTTCCTGTTTGCCATCTGTATATAAACATTTTCCTGAAAAGTGCCCAGTGATAGGGAAATGTTTATAAATGTTTAATGTGTATAGCTGCAGCACTCCCTGGGAATCGCTATGATCTCCATGGGGAGCTGTAGTCTGAAGTGGGAGGCCTGAAGGATTTGATTCGTAACCACTTCTTGTGCCTACTGATCAGATCATTGGCACGATGAACCCTGGCAGGGCACTGAAAGGATACAAATAAACCCACAGCTGCTATTCCAGCCAGGGGTTTGTTTTCTATTATGTGCATGAGTGTTGGTTCACATACACGCAAAAACCTACATAAACACACACACACACACGTAGTAAGTACATAAACCCCAATTGCACGTTACCAATTATATATTACACATGCCAGTTTTAGATTAAAAATATAAAGGCTGTCTGCAATTTTCCAACTTCATCCTTTCCAGGTACCAGGTAAGGACATATTAGATATAACCCTTTTAATATAATAGTAAAAGCAAATAATTGCACCAACCAATAAAACTGAAATCAAACACACTGTTCAGTATATGGAAGCCAGCCTAGTGTGGATAATTATCTATCCTGGTACTGCTCAGCATACTGCTCCCGCGGCTGGCTTCCTTATTCTTACAGGAGTGCTTGTACACTGCCATTGTAAGTGCAATTGTATGCTTTCATTATTATATTAAAAGGGTTTATATGCACTACCCAGTGCTCCCTTGCTTTCCTTTTGTTTATATTTTATTTGCACAAAGATAAAATACATAAAAGGTGATCATGTGATATGATCAATTTTAAGCCATAAGACTACAGCGGCAAATGTCAGCCTGCTGGTATGGTAGTAATGAATCTAATGTCCAAATAAACAGTTATAAACAATATATTAAAAAGTCTAACCTTACAATGGTATATTAAAATTAGTATCCAGTGTTTTGGCTACTGGCCTTTCATCCAAATATGAAGTTTTAACCATATTAGTTTCATAACAAATATACGTACATCTTTTATGCAATATATTTTCTCTGCAATTTATTACTTCCAGTGGAATGATGCGTTGGGGTGAATTTGATGACCTTTATCACATAGAAGAAGCTGGAAAGACATCCGATGATGAACCAGACTCAAAAAATGGTAAGAATGGTAATCATAAAGTGATATCACAACTATACAGAATATTTTTTTCTGTTTCCTCTTCATATTATCTTGCTTATTCATTAGGCTTCCTATTTCAGAATATTTAAATGTATCTCCATATCTAGTCATTAAGGATTGAAATTAATGCACAACTAGAAAAAGTGTGCCTGTTTGTAGAATGGATTCGAATTCAGGAGTACAAGTGGTACTCACAAGTAATGTGATGATTTGTCTCTATATTGTGAATATTAGAGGTATGAAGTATATAACATACTGCACAGTACTCAGAATGAGGCAGTCTGGAGTATATCACACAGAGCATAGTATATGGAAGAAACACCCCATTATTCATTTTAAAAATCAGCACATACAGCTATTACATCTCATACCCACCTTAGAGATATCATCAATGGATCAGAAAGCTGATATTTGTAAGGCTGCATGGAAAACTGCACAATAAGAAAAGGGTGTTTTGAAGCATTTCTAAAACGAAGAGCAAACATGTAATATATTGCAGCTTACAGGCCCTTTGATGTTGTGTCTTTGAAAGTTTTCTATTTATTTCTTTTTTCCCTTTATTTGTATCTGGTTTTCCTGCCAGTAACACACTTGCTGTCCTAGGGTGACATACTTACTTACCTATGGAACCACCATCTGCCGATTCCTGTTGCAGATTCTTGTTGCATGTAGGCATTAAAAGCATTTCTTTTTTTTCACATTTTTCCACTTTAATTCAACTTGTGGTTTCTTCTTTAGACTATGACTACAACAGTATAACCCTGAAGCCTAACCTTAATGACCATGCCCCTGATTCACCATCTTTATACCGGACCATGAGTGATGCTGCACTAGTTAGGAAAAGGATTCATCCAGACACTCCAGACAGAAGCCATCTGCAGAAGCATCGTTTTTCCATCAATGGACACTACTACAATTATAAAGTAGGAGGCAAACTTTTACATTTCATCTAGAAATATGTTACTGTTATTTTACATAGCTAACAAACATACTGTACGACTATGGCCTAGCAGCGCTAGCTTTCTGTGATCCGTTTCCATTAGCCATATCTGTGCATTGTTCGTAGGTTTTCTTTCAGGCTTATGTAGATTTCCTCTAATGGTCTTAATTTTATCTCTTGCAGTCCCAAAACATATTGATCGGCATGTTGACTGGCTCCTGCCTGCATTGCCTATGGTGTGTGTGTGTGTGTGTTTAATTGATTGGCTGTAGTGGGAAAAACATAAGGTTCTTTATGGACTTTGTAACTAAAATCCATAGCACCAGTTATGCATTTAGTAATAAGTACCTGAAATCTGTATTTGTATTATGTTTTCACTTGCACAGCAGATATTAGGGTACCAGCGTGAGATTATATTGTAAGAAAGTCGGGCTTTAGTATATTGCGCAGTGTCGTCATTCAAACATGTTTGGAGGCTGAAAGGTTTTTATGCTGTTTACAAGAGCGTACTGTCAGAGTGATTGAAGAATGCACACTTATGTTGCTAATCTTATCATGTCTGTTGTAGATAGAATGGAATGTGCTGTCTTTAGAAAAAGCACAGAATGTTGTACTTTAAGCTCAGAAGGCATCATTGACATCACTGTGTATAATCCTTTCATATACCTGACTGTACGTCTGGCTTGCTTGTATAGAACATCAGCTCAGAATATTTAAACTATATGTCTATTCAAATTATGAAAACAGAGAGAAACAATCAATTCCAGAAATTTAAATGGACTTTACGGTTCTACCCGACAAAACATTATTATTATACATGATTTATATAGTGCCAACAGTTTGCGCAGCGCTTTACAATCTAAGGAAGACATTAGAATCACAATACAATTCAAGACAAGATGGTAAGGAGGGCCCTGCTTATGAGGGCTTACAATCAAAACATCTGTAATTCTGCTAGTTTTGTGATTCACACACCTCTATCACACTGCATAGCTGGGCAGTTGACAGTTACTTTCTGTCTCAGCTTTGCATCTTTAAAAGTCATCCTCATCTTCATTGGACAAAAAAAAAATGAGCATTATCATATGAACCCACAGTATTCAGTAAGAGCAGGAATGAGAACTTCATCACCGACTATCACTGCCCATCTCTTCCAGAGTGAAATTATAGGGACCTGAGCCCATCCTTACATCTCGCCAGATCACAACACCCACCAGACCTGGGTCATTATACTTAAGGTGGCCATTACACCGCTTACATGTTGGAAAGAACTTTTGTACAAAAGATTGTTCGTTTGACTTTCTACTAGTTGATGGGGTAAAATCGACAATTTATTTCGACCATAGTGGTGACATAAGGCGAGCAGGATGGAACTTTTTTCCAACGAATTCTAACAGTAAATGTGGTTTTCATACAGGAAACTCCATTCATTCCATCATCGAACATGAAACGAAAATTGAAACGAAATTCTGAATGATAGTCATGAAGTGTCTGATGACATTATTGGGTGGTAAAGGAAGATCCTTCTTACGAAAGTCAGTTGTATGGGCAGTTTTACAATGACTGCTACTGTGCCTTTTTCACTGCAGCTGTCAATAATTACCATAGAGGCATATACTGTAATTGATTAATTAATATAAGGTTAAAGTGCAACTGAAGCCAAAACCTTTACAGGTTAGTGGCAAAGTCAGCATTAGCAACCTACAACCTCCTCTCAGTATAGGCTTTGTTTAAAGGAGATTTCTATAAACAAGGAGTGCTACTGCAGGCAAACTTTTACCTTGACCAGGTAGCTACAATTACAGACTATGGTTTTGATAAGTGTCTATACATTTAATTAATAGCACTCTGAGGCTGATATTATTATTTACAGATGGATAGATTTTAGTGTGTCAAGGAATAAAAACAACAGTGAGTCAGTGGTTCCTGCTATCTTTTACAGTAGAATTAGGGGAAGTGGACATCCCCCCTGCATGTTTCTGTAAATGACTTGTAAGACAAAGGGCTGCATTTTCATGGAAATTTCCAGTATGTTACAAAAACGTCAGTGTTATAAAGAATGTATATATACTGTGTGTGTATATATACATACACACACTGTATATATACTGTATATATACTGTGTATCTATGTGTATGTGCATAGATAGATAGATAGATAGATAGATAGATAGATAGATCTACATATATATCTATATATATATAGATCTATATATATATAGATCTATATATATATAGATCTATATATATATAGATCTATATATATATTTACTCATTTTTATAAAATATTTAAATGAACATCTACAATGGCAAGTAAAGTGGTAAAAAAAATGAAACAAATCGACACAAACTGTAAAAAATGGTGACATATTAGGAAAACCATCAAATATCAGAGTGCTTTGAGGAGATTTCAATTTACAGTTTCTGTTGTATAATTAAGACAATAGATGAGGGAGAATTTCTATCTCTATTTAGGTGAATATGAGGAAAATGACAGTAACAATTGTGCAGATGAGATTAAAGCACAACTATCATGAAAATGATATTTGTCATAAGTAAAAAGGTGAAAAAGCAGTTGTTTAGTGTGTTGTGCTTGTCACAGTTGTGACTTGCTTTGTCAAGTTGTACGTCTGTGACATCTAGTGGCAATATTAGGAACTGCAAATATTTTCTTTGCACAGCCTGACTTGTTATTTGTTTCTCTCAATACAATTCAGTGGTTCAAAGAATGGCTTTGCTACTCCATGAAAATACATTTTAAAAATATATATTATATTAATCCACAGAGGGCAGGTATCAGGGGTACGTAATTGGCTGTCATAAAGCATTACACAATTAAGTGTAAACCTACGTGTCCTGAAGGTAAACCTATGTGTCCTGAAGCTGCCCTTTTCATTTAGCCCGAACCCCCCAAAACAGCTCATAATTAATAGATCATAATATGATAGTGCTAGATTCATACCTAGCATATGTATGAATGTATAAGAAAACAGCAATCACTTAGATACCAAAGACTTCCTTATAATGAATTGTAGAAAGTGGACTGATGTCTGTGAAATAGCGATTTTGTTCTATGCGATATTATGTAGGTTTTCAGACTATAAAATGATAAAATCTAGAAATATTTATATAGTGAAAAAAGTAACTTTAAAGGTGGCTCTGCAGGAGTATAATTAAGCACTTCAATCCTCCTACACAGCACCCCTCAGCTCTTGTGACTGGGGAAGGTTGGCTCGGCAACTGCCTCTAGAGTCCACAAAAAGCTGCTGGAATTGGCATCAAACAGCCAGATTTAGTAGCTTCGGCTGATCCTTTGGCTAGCTTCTGTTGCGGGAGGCCTTCGGTTCAGTCGAACTGAAGGGCTGCTGTACTGGCTATTCACTATAGCTCATACAGCTCCCAAAGGCGGTCGAATGAGCTCAAGTGACAGCTGAAGTGGGGTGAGCGGCCGGCCGAAGTCAAACGCCCCCAAATGATACCTGGGCGGAGCCAGCCGTGATCTCACTGTCGGCTCTGCCCAGTTGTTATTCTTTGGCCGGGACCTGCTGGAAGACTCTAGCAGCTGTCAGCCAATAGGAAACAGTTGGGCAGGGTTCACTTTCACTGCTAGCTCTGCACCATTGTTTTTTTGTTTATATTTTTTTTGTAATCTTTATTGATGCTTCTTAAATGTATTATATTAACATTTTTTATCATTTTCTTCGACTCCCCCCCCCCCCC